CCGACGTTTTCGTTTTCTGTTACCCGTCTGTTCTATCCTGTAAACATGCTTTGTAATTCCGTTAGTTTTTTTTAACCTTTCATGTTGGCTTCATTTCTCAGAGCTGCTGGTTGCAGCTGGATTTGCACCATTTGATCCTAAGACGGCTGCTTAGTAGTCACTGATGGCGTCCCAGCTCAGACCCGGCCAATGATATTGTTAGTGGGCATATAATTTTTATTATCCTGTATCCACCCCGTAGGTTGTTATTAGCATGTAATTGATCGCCTCCTTCAGGGGCCCGTGTGTGGACGACCCCTCAGACAATGCGAGTGACTTGTACGGCTGTAAATGGATGAATAAAGAACTGATCTGAATGACTGATGATGTAGGTGTTCGTACATGTGTGTGAATAAAAAGGTTCACTGCACTCACATGTGGTGTGGGTCTGCCTCGAGGCCGGCATGTGTTTGTAGTTAGTGTGTATGTGTCGGCAGGATAGGCCAAGCTTCTGGGAGCTCCTGCGACAGAGGTTTCTATCAGGTTTCTGTGCTGCTGATGCTGTCTGTGACGAAAAGCAGCCGTTCACGTGCGCATTCAAGTTGAGCTGTAACCACAGACAGGAGGACACAAGATGGAGATGGAGAACGAGTTGGTTGGTCAAGTGGAAGCAAGAGATAGGAAGCTAAAAGAAAAAAATCAGACGGAGACAAGTAGGAATAAAACATTCTGTCTCTGCAGGAGTAGAAAAGTGGAATAAAAGACTATGTGGAGTGAGACCAAGCAAGCAGGCATGGCAAAAGAGAGTGAAAGAGTGACAAAAAGGCAGGGAGGGGAGACAAGACAAGAAAAAAGACAGACTGGCAGGGGAAGAGGGGGGGCTTTGCTTCTTAAAAGGCTTCCTTTTGCTGCAACCAGCAGGCTATGAAGGAGTCACCATGGTTGGCCTGTGATGGACATACGCACACACAAAGTGACGTATCAGGAAGAAGAATGCGTTGGCCCATGACGGTGCAGTTTGCCCCTCTGACATCTGTTTGAACTCAATTGATCTGTTTTGACAGATGTGTGAAGGATTCCAAAAGCGGCAAAGGCTTTGGTTTGAGCTGGAGACATCCAGCTGAGGTTTTATTGCGGGATCAGGAGGACCCAGAGCTGTCTGACACATCTCCTGCCAAAATCTCCGAGCTGCAGATATTGACTGAGGAAGAGCGGAGGAGATGGATGCAGGTGGACTGCAGACCTGTTTTGGCTCATTGGTAGTTTGATGGACGAGGCATTAGATCACCACTGGAGGGTAGCAAGGAGCAGAACATGCTTACTGTCACCGTCTGTTAGTTATCACACTGAGGTTCCCTTATACACGAGTCACAAAGGGAGACAAATGCACTGTACACTTATTCAGACACTGGAGTAACCTGGAGCAAAATGAAATGAATGTGTAACGTTGTTGTACCTCCCTGTGCAGCAGATGGCTTTGGAATAAGTCGGTCGCCGCTCTCCGTACTCAAAAGTCTAAACCTTGTATTTTGGTGTCCTCAAACACGACACTGAGAACAAAAGTCTTGAATGCAGAGCCCTGATGTTTTTTGGTACTTCCTCCTGTGGCTGAACTGAAACTCAGTCGTAAACACTGAGATTTGCTGTCAGTCCCTCATAACTGAATGACAAAGGCTTCTTTGTTCCGGGCCGAAGGTTTAAGGATCCACTGAAAAATGAATCAAATGTGAAATTTCCAAAAGCTTCTTGACCAAAAGTTACCGACAGAACCACAAGACTCTGTTTTCACTTTCTAACCTTCTCATTGTAGTTTTCTGTTTAGAACGCTCTTCTTCTGTTGTTTAAGGAATTATTAAGGAAACAGGAGCAGATTCGGATTGTTCAGCAATGTGGGAGCCACTGTCCACAACTTAGCTTCTCTTAATTGCGTCTGAGCAAGCAGAAGTTTAAAGGCAGCGTTCGGTGGTTCTTTATTTAACATCAATGCATGCAAAACCTAACTGACCACAAATGCATAAATCTACAGGGAACTAATCCTTAGATTCAACTAAGCATTAGCCCAAAATATCATGTTCACAACTGTTGTTCACCCACATGTGATCCAACACTTTGTGCTCTTCGTTTATAAATTATAAACACCTCATAAAGTGCTCACTCAGCCGATCTTAATGCACGGTGAGGCTAAACAATGAGGGGGTTGAATTTCTATCAGTGCACTCAAGTGCTTAAGTTTGGCTGTGTGGATGGTAACGCCTGCCCGCTGATACAGGCTGAATGATCTCAGCATTCGTGGTAGCTTTTTTTTCTTTTAGGACCACCGTGGAGTTCAAATTTGTGGTTTTGAGTGAAATGTCTCAACAACTTTTGGATGACTTGCGATGAAATTCCAAGCAGAAACTGATGTTGCTCTCAGGGTAAAAAGTAAACAGTGTTGTTAAAGAGATGTTTGCATATGAATGTGCAGAATCGGGGGGCATGGGTGCAGGAAG